TGAATTTTAGATTGTTTTTCAATACCTCTCTCATTTCTTTCCATGAAGCAAATAATCTTTTTATACCAAGCATAAATCTTTTTTACAAAATTTTAAAATTCTAAATCACATTTTTTTTAAAGACAATTTGAATTTGGCTGTTTTTTTTTTTAAACTGATTTTTTTTTTCCGAAAACAATGTTGGCTGAGTTACCATCCTTTTTAGAATGGTAAGACAAACGTTAAAATCAACGGGTAAAAAAGGTTTTTAAAAAAAGTGAGTACATAAATGGGCCCCACAAGGTAAAAATAAAATAAATGCGAATTGTATGTTGGGAAAGAAGGGGAATAAAATGCCTAAAAATGGAATTCGCATGCTTTCTGTTTATATTTCCATGACAATGATATTCGACGTACAGATATCCGCCACGTGTTTGTTATTCGAAATCAGACAATTTTTGCAGTCAGTTAAACGTCGTTGTCTCAATAAGATAAAGCAGAAAGGACAAAGGATCGACAAGTCGGCGGCTGCCGCCATGTCGTGGTCGGCGTTAATGTCTGCAGGTTTTAATCAGGCAACCTTACTCTCTTTAACAACCTTTTCTCCACTGTTTTTTTTTATCAATAAAAGCAACAACCTAATACCTGTAATTTTCTGGATTTACAATAGTAGCATCAGACTATTATGTTCCTTTAATTATTCAAGTTACTAATTAACACTGCGTATGTTTTAATTTGTTCATATTTAACTTGAAGTAAATATGATATTTTTTTCGACGGTTTGATTTGGAATGTTATTTTAAGAAAAAAAGAAAGATTTTTAAAATTTGTAATTTAAAACAATTTTTGATTGAAAAATATTTATTAAGAATAAAAAAATTAGAGTTTAGTTGTTTCTAATTATAGTAAGATGACATTCTTTTTGAATTCGGCCCTAAAAAAATGGAATGTCATGTAAAATGAGATGAAACAAGTACTTAATTTTGTGATTTGAAGTAATATAATAAAACTTCGTGTTTATAATATTATGATTGTTATATTAATAAAAACTTACCCTTTTTCAATTCGAAAAATATTGAAAATAAAAATATTTTCTACTGTATTAGATTTTTTTTAATTATTATTATCTAAATGAAATTAATGATGGATTACTATAAATCTATAATCTTCTAGATATGAAAATTAATGTTGGATTACAATATTTTTATTAGGAAAGAAAAGAAATAATATGTTTATTAGCAAATTAGATATTTTATAGACTCAAAAATAACAATAAAGATATTTTTGGATCAAATCTTAAAAGCACGAGTATTATTTTTGAACAAAAGTATTGACAATTAAAAAAATTTAAACCAAATTATTAACAAAAAATATTTTTATTTAATTTCACATAATTTAAAAATATTTTTATCTCTCTTCTTTTATGAGATACTCTCCCTGCCTCTTTTTACTTGTCAATTTTGATAAATCAAGAAAGAATAATTTTTTTTTACATATCATATCCTCAATTAGTTACTTTGAAAAATAGTAGAACTTTTTGAAAATCCTAAATTTTTGATTTACCACTTTATAATTAGTAAGGGTAAAATGGTAAACTTACTATGTCAATAATTATTTTCTTAATAAATGTGTTAATTAAAAAATAAATAAGTAATTAAAAATAAAAAAAATATGTACTAAAATTATTGAATTATGGTGAACTCGTAGTTTAGGTTCTAAATAATTGATGGGAATGGATGCTGGGTTTATAAATGGTAATCTGTGTTGGAGTGATCATTGGCATTGACCCCTTACATGACTCTTCATGTTAAATGAAGTAACTCTACTCAAATGTCTTTTTTGCCTCTCTCTCTTTGTTGCTTGCTGCCAAAAAGTACTCAACAAAAATACAGTGGTGTTTTCCATCTGGCGACCAAAAAAGAAAAAGAACAAGAGAAAGACAATGGTGTTATGAGATATACTTCTATTTTTTTTTTATTTGGTGTTCAGTATCTGCTTGTGTCGTGTAGGGTCCTATTCGAAGGAAAACACTTATTATCAAGGATTTTTCAATATTCAAAGGTCGAACCGAAGACTTTTTCATTTACTGCACCACATCGATCCATAGACTTTCTTATCAATAAAAAAGAAAAGAAAAAAGACTTTCTTATTAATTTCTCAATTACACATTTTATATTTATTTCTTGTAACTTCTATTTATTTTATTTAATAAAACATTTGTTTAGGTCACTACATTTGTGAGCTTGTCTTTTAGCTCATCCAAAGATAAAATTTTCTTTAATCTAGTAAATTTGGATACTTACCAGGTCATATCACTTGAAATTGGTGTCAATGTTTGCTTAAATAATAATTTTACTCAAATTTAACTTGCTAGTGAAAGGTCTGTGTTTATGACATAAAGTTCCAATTCAATTAAGCCATTTTAATGCATTTGCTATTCTTGGAAAACATAAATGATTCACTGTATTTTTTGTCGTTGAAGAAGAGGAAAAACATGTTACCTTTTTTCTTTTTTTCCATTCTTCTTCACGCAAGAACAAAGCTAGCAAGCAACCAATCAAGAAAAAAGGAAAAAATTTGCATGTGTTCCAATTTCAATTTATATGACATATTTTTTTTCTAGTCGGTGTAAGTTTAACAAAATAACACATTTCTTTGATCTTCAAAAACGCATTTTGCCATTTGATAAGAAGATTTACAGCACACAAACATCTATGACCTTTTTTTTTATAATTGTGGTGTTCGAACCAACTTTCGTGCACTTTGACTAATTTCACGAAATATCTATCATCGCCAACCAGTAACATAGATCATATACCATGTAATTATATGCACCAAAGCTAAGACAAATTGAAAGAATTACCTACTATTATAATTTTGTCTCTACTGAAATTTAAACATGAGATCTTATGTTCTTAACCTACTTTAGTGTTTTTTTTTTTGGATCAGAAGTATTAAAAATCTTTGTATTTTTGAATATGTATCATTTAAATTGAAACGAAATAATAATTTATCATAAAAAAATAGGTAGAGAAGCTTTAAAGGACAGACAGACAAAAAGCCATAAAAAGGGCAAATCGGTCATTTGACCATAAGGGGTACAGAACGTAGCATGTTAACAGTAAAGCAAATCTCTGCAAAAAAAAACTGTCTTTTTGATTCCTTCTTTCTCTTTCATTTTTCAAGACAGACATGTTTATGATTTTCTCCCTCTTAAATACCCCTTCTTTATCACCACTGTTTCATTGTCATTTCTCAAACTTCACAATTTTCTAAAGCAAAATGGCTTTCTTCTCTAAACTCTCTGTTCTTGTTCTGAATTTGTGTTTTTATGCTTATTTCATCATGTTTGTTGTTTCTCAGCCTTCTGCTCTCAACATGGTGGAACAAGAAGCAGTGTACAATGTTCTTGAATCCATTAACTCTGATGTCTCTTGGCGTTCCCTTTTCCCTGATGATCTCTGTTCTTCTTCCCCACATGGGGTTATTTGTGATTACTTTATTTCCAATACAAACTCATTTACTCCTCATGTAACTGAGATTAGTCTTGGTTATGTTTCAGATTATGCTCCTAATCCACCTTGTACTCCTAATAGCACACTTAATGCTTCCCTTTTTGCCCCTTTTTCTTATCTAAGAAAGATCTTTGTTTACAAATGTTTTACTGAAAATGAGGTTTCTTTGATTGACTTTGGATCTTTGCCTTCTTCTTTGGAGGAGGTGGTTTTCTTGGAGAATCCAGGTCTTGTTGGTTCTTTAAGTGATAAAGTTGGAAACTTGATGAGTTTGAGGAGGTTGGTTTTGAGTGGGAGTGGTGTTTATGGGGAAATCCCAAATGGGGTTGGTGGTTTGGTCAATTTAGAGCAGCTGACTTTATCAAGAAACAATATTAGTGGTGAAATTCCAGAGGGGTTGATGACATTGAAGAAACTCAAGATTCTTGATTTGAGTCAAAATGAGCTTGAAAGTAGTGTTCTTGAATCTATAGGGAACTTTACTCAACTTTTGAAACTTGACTTGAGTTACAACAAGCTTACTGGGAAAATCCCTTAAAGTTTGAAGGGTTTGAAGAGTTTGGAGTTTTTGGACTTGAGTTACAATAACTTTTCCAATTCTGGGGTTCCATTATTTTGGCTGAGATGTCTAGTTTGAAGGAAGTCTACTTAAGTGGAAACTATCTTGGAGGAGAAATTCCAGAAATATGGGAGAATCTTGAGGGTATTGTGGGGCTAGGATTATCAAAAACAGGACTAGTTGGGAACATTCCTGTTTCTATGGGGGTGTACTTGAAAAACATATGTTATTTGGGGCTTGATAATAACAAGCTGGAAGGGGCATTGGAATATGTGAATGAGTTACATTTGGAGAACAATAATTTGAGTGGTAGACTTCCATTCTCTCCAAAATTTGTATCCAAAGTTGGTGAAAAGTTAAAGTTGGGAGGCAATCCTCAGCTCTGTGTAGATGAAGGCTTGAGAATATCTAATGTTAGTGTTAGCTTGAGGCTACTAAAAATGTGCAACAATGCTATTAGTGCCAAATTTGTCCCATTCTCTGGGGCATCTTTAGTACTGGTGCCTGTTTCCCATGTTGTCTTTTTTCTTGGAATTTTGTTTCTCCTGTGCTAGTAGACAATCTTGGACATATACTGACTAATGACTTTTTAAGTATAGGGAAATTTTGGACTGTGTTCTGATATAGCACTTGTTGATAGAAACTTTTCGGTTTTAGTAGAGTTTTCTTTCTGCATTTTTCCTGTTGTGTGTTCACAAGATGAAAGAAGCTAAGAGGTGTAATTATAAAGTTAAGGAAGATTCATATAGTTTGTAATTGCAATGTATTGAATGTTGCATTTTCCAGTGTATTGTTTATTGAGTGCATAAATGACAAATCATACTATCAATGGAAAAATCTATTAAGAAGCAAATGTAATATGGATACAAGGTAATGATGTATTGTGCTATGATAGATTCAGAGTAAAAACGAAGAAACAAAAAAGACTAGGAAGAATAGTTTCTAATTATCAAAACAGGTGCCCATTTTTTTTACTTGACTACACAAAAAAATTGACTGATTTTGAGTCCATGTTAAGTTGTTGTTTTGCTCACTACTCTTTATCTATCTCATTGTTTCTTGAACTTAAAATGGAATTGTCATATTCTGTGTCTTGTCCAGGATCCATTGGTGTTGTACTAGAGGATGATATGCCTTTTGATTTAGAGGTCCGGGATGAGCTCCCGGAGCTCACTCCACCATCCTCCTTGGATTTCTTCCTTCTTGTCTTTTTAGGTATGTCCGGAAGGTCCCTTGCTGGAGAATCAGAGCCACCACCTGATCCAGGCCGGCTATGTCGACTTGTTTTTGTACCATCAGACGACTCTTTATGTCGCCTAGTGCTCCTGGCTTTCTTTGGAGAACTACTACCCCCACTCCCATTTTCTGATGACGAATGACGCCTTGATGTCTTTGTCACTTCTGGTTGATCGTCGGGTAATGAAGAATTTGCATTCTTGTACTTTTGGTTCGCATCTGCATCTGCAATTCAAGAAGAGTCGCAATAGAATCAACTTGAATTTCTTTCATCTCATGTCGGTTTTTCAAATGGTACACAAACGAACCATCTCACACAAAGTTCTATTTTGTAACGTTACCTTTGTCTGTATCGACGATTATTAGACTATGGATACAAAGTGGATTTATATAGTCGACCCCATCATATGGTAACCATATGAAAAGTGGAAAAAAATTTACCTTCAGAAGCACATGATCTATTATCTGGATGATCATTAGCATCAAGTGGAGGACCCAAAGGGGCTGTATGAAATTTCCCTGGTTCTTTAAATTCTTTCATCTGCCACAACACATTCATTTTATAATTACCAATAAAAACATTATCCTAAAATAATAATCATAATAATAATTACCCAGCTGGGAGATTCAATGGATGGTCCATCCCATCCAATATGGGCGACATGTTTTACATCAGTAGGAAGTCCAATCTGCATTTCTGGTTCTTTTTCCTCTTCTGACACATTTTTTATTAAATCAATCAATTAACCGCAATATATCAATCATATCATAATGTAACAATAACAATAACTATAACAATCGAAATTTCTCACCAAACATCTGAGAAATACCCAAGGCCTTTAAAAAGCCTTTCACCTTTGCGGCCATTCTTCTTCTAAATGCTACTAAAGAAGATGTTTTCTTTTACTCAAAATCGTGCATTTGTTTCTCCAATCTAAAATAAAATAAGACGATGGTGACGATATGAATAATATGGCTAAAAATTCATATATATATATATAAATAGAAATTAACCTTCTTCAGTAGGATTGAAGAAATTCAGCAAATTTGCGATGTGTATTAGGGAAAAAGATACTCAAAATGCAGATAAAAATTCAAGAAATGGACTCAAACCCTTGAGAAAAAAAATATTTGGGTTCGAATCCTTTCTAAGTATGATAAAAGCAAAACGATGTTAAAGCAATCCTTTCATCCATTCAATGGCATTCAATTGCAAGACATTGTTAACCAGAAGCATATCGATAATTCAGGAACTGAAAATTAATTACTATTATTTTTCTTTCATATTTGTTAATAAAAAAAATTATGATTTTAGGGCAGTTTCTTTAAATGTTTCATTTACCCTTATTGACTTTTCATTTGTCCTCGATATATACCTAAAATTGAATGGTCATACATTTTTCTTTCTTTTGTTACATTTTTTTTTTCACTCAATATTTGATGTTTATATTGGAGTATGATTAAATTTGAATTGACACATTGCAGGGTTCATTAGTAAAACAAATATCAAATTTAATAATAAAGGTGAAATAAATACAAATTGATAAATTATTTCTTGATTTTTCAAATTGAACAACCAAGTTTTAAAAAATATTTTTAATATAATGATGAAGTACCAAAGATGAACGGAGGGAATAGTACTTGAAAGTACACTTAGACTTTTAAAATGTCTTACCATACACATCTGACCTAATTATATATTTCAATTAGCCTCGTCATTTCCCCCTATATATTTTGGGTATTTAAGAGTCATTTTACATGAAATAAGTGATTTTCTAAATTTCTCGTGTGTTAATCCAAGAATATTTTGTGATATGATTTTTGGTCGACTTTTTGCAGAATCATTACGAAACCCTCTATAGAGAGTTAGGAGAACAATATGTAAAGGCTCACCATTTTTTGCACATATGACCTACTTAATGCGCGCGTTGGTTTGGAGGGACAAACATTGGTTATTTCAAGTTCAAACGAGGCACAAATCGGGAAATATGAATTTTTTCACTTTTCATGTGTTACCATGGACTTTTTGGTGATCTGGAATTCCGATCTCATTTTTTCCAAAATTATTCGTGGACGTCCGTTAAGACCATATCTATGGAGACAGTTAGCCCTCACGACCAAAACATCCCATTCTCAAGGTCAAACGATCCCCGGAGCAAGTAAACCCCCCATTTTGTCGATATTCGTGTGCTATAGTCCATGGACATTTTGGTGATCTGGAATTTCGACCTCATTTTTGCCAAAAATTTTCGTTGACGTCCGTTAAGACCTTAGCTATGGAGCCAGTTGGCCCTCACAACCAAAACGTCCTATTTTAAAAGTCAAACATGCCCCACAGCAGGTAAACCCCCTAATTTGCCAATTTTCATGTGCTATAGTCCATGTATTTTTTGGTGATCAAGAATTTCGACCTCATTTTTGCCAAAAAATTTCGTGGACGTCCGTTAAGACCTTAGCTATGGAGCCAGTTGGCCCTCACGGCCTAAACGTCCCATTTTGAATGTCAAACGAGCCCCAGAGCAGGTAAAACCCCCCATTTTCCCAATTTTCGTGTGCTATAGTTCATGGACTTTTTGGTGATCTGGAATTCTGACCTCATTCTTGCCAAAAATTTCTGTGGACGCCCGTTAAGACCTTAGCTATTGAGCCAGTTGGCCCTCACTGCCAAAACGTCTCATTTTCGAGGTCAAACGACCATCGGAGCAGATAAACTCCCCATTTTACCGATTTTCATGTGCTATAGTTCACCATCTGTTTTGGTGATCTGTAATTCCGACCTCATTTTTGACAAATTTTTTTGTGAACATCCTTTAAGACCTTAGCTATGGAGCCAGATAGCCCTAATGGTCAAACTATCCCATTTTCAAGGTCAAACGATCCCCGGAGCAGGTAAACCCCCATTTTACCGATTTTTGTGTGTTATAGTCCATGGACTTTTTGGTGATCGGGAATTTCGAGCTCATTTTTGCTGTAACTTTTCCTGGACATCCGTTAAGACCTTAGCTATGGAGCCAGTTGGCCCTCACGACCAAAACGTCCTATTTTCAAGGTCAAATGAGCCCCTGAGCAGGTAAACCCCCTATTTTGTCGATTTTCGTGTGTTATAGTCCATGGATTCTTTGGTGATCTAGAATTTTGACCTCATTCTTTGCCAAATTTTTTTGTGGACGTTCTTTAAGACCTTAACTATGGATCCAGTTGGCCCTCACGATCAAAACGTCCCATTTTCAAGGTCAAACGATCCTCGGAGAAGGTAAACCCCCCATTCTTTACTAATTTTCGTGTGCTATAGTTCACCATTTTTTTTGGTGATTTGGAATTCTAACCTCATTTTTACCAAAATTTTTCGTGGACGTTCATGAAGACCTTAGCTATGGAGATAGATGCCCCTCACGGCTAAATCGTCCCATTTTCAAGGTCAAATGAGGCCCGGAGCAGGTAAACCCCCAATTTTGCTGATTTTCGTGTGCTATAGTCCAGAGATTTTTTGGTGATTTAGAATTTCGACCTCATTTTTGCATAAATTTTCCGTGGACGTCCGTTAAGACCTTAGCTATGAAGCCAGTTGTCCTTCACAACTAAAACGTCCTATTTTGAAAGTCAAGCGTTCCCCACAGCAGGTAAACCCGCCATTTTGCCGATTTTCGTGTGCTATAGTCCATGGACTTTTTGGTGATTTGGAATTCCGACCTCATTTTTGCCAAAATTTTCCGTGGACGTCTGTTAAGACCTTAGCTATGGAGCCAGTTGGCCTTCACAACCAAAACGTCCTATTTTGAAAGTCAAACGTTCCCCACAGCAGGTAAACCCCCCATTTTGCTGATTTTCGTGTTCTATAGTCCATTGACTTTTTGGTGATTTGGAATTTTGACCTCATTTTTGCCAAAAATTTTCTTAGACGTCCGTTAATAACTTTGCTATGGAGCCAGTTGGCCCTCACATCCAAAACATCCTATTTTCAAGGACAAACGATCCCCGATTCTGGTAAACCCCCCATTTTGCCAATTTTCGTGTGCTATAGTCCATGGACTTTTTGGTGATTTGGAATTTCGACCTCATTTTTGTAAAAATTTTCGTGGACGTCCGTTAAGACCTTAGCTATGGAGCCATGTCGCCCTCACATAAAAAATGTCCCACTGTCAAGGTCAAACGAGCCCCGGAGCAGGTAAACCCCCCATTTTGCCGATTTTGGTGAGCTATAGTCCAAGGACTTTTTGGTAATCTGGAATTCCTACCTAATTTTTGCCAAAATTTTTCGTGGACGTTCGTTTAGAGCTTAGCTATGGAGCCAGTTTTCCCTCACAACCAAAACGTCCTATTTTGAAAGTCAAACCTGCCCCACAGCAGGTAAACCCCCAATTTTGCCAATTTTTGTGTGCTATAGTCCATAGACTTTTTGGTGATTTGGAATTCCGACCTCATTTTTGGTCCGTTAAGACCTTTGTTATGGAGCCAGTTAGCCCTCACAACAAAAACAACTTATTTTCAAGGTTAAACAATCCCCAGATCAGGTAACATTTTGCCAATTTTTGTGTGCTATAGTCCATGGACTTTTTGGTGATCTGAAATTTCGACCTCATTTTTGCCAAAAATTTTCGTGGTCGTCCGTTAAGACCTTAGCTATGGAGTCAGTTCGCCCTCATGGCCAAAATGACCCATAGTCAAGGTCAAACGAGACCCAGAGCAGGTAAACCCCCCATTTTGCCGATTTTCGTATGCTATAGTCCATGGACTTTTTGGTGATTTGGAATTTCCACCTCATATTTGCCAAAATTTTCCGTGGACGTCCGTTAATACCTTAGCAATGGAGCCAGTTGGCCCTGACAATCAAAACGTCCTATTTTGAAAGTCAAATGTGCCCCACAACAGGTAAACCCCCCATTTTACTGATTTTCGTGTGCTATAGTCCATGGACGTTTTGATGATCTGGAATTCCGATCTCATTTTTGCCAAAAATTTTCGTGGATGTCCGTTAAGACCTTTGTTATGGAGCCAGTTGGCCCTCACAGCAAAAACAACCTATTTTCAAGGCTAAACAATCCCCGGATCAGGTAAACCCCCCATTTTGCCAATTTATGTGTGCTATAGTCCATGGACTTTTTGGTGATCTGAAATTTCGACCTCATTTTTGCCAAACTTTTTCGTGGTCGTCCGTTAACACTTTAGCTATGGAGCCAGTTCGCACTCATGGCCCAAATGTCCCATAGTCAAGGTCAAACGAGACCCATAGCAGGTAAACCGCCCATTTTGCCAATTTTCGTGTGCTATAGTCCATGGACTTTTTGGTGATTTGGAATTCCAACCTCATTTTTGCCAAAATTTTCCGTAGACGTCTGTTAATACCTTAGCAATGGAGCCAGTTGGCCCTCACAATCAAAACGTCCTATTTTGAAAGTCAAACGTGCCCCACAGCAGGTAAACGCCCCATTTTACCAATTTTCGTGTGCTATAGTCCATAGACCTTTTGGTGATCTGGAATTCCGACCTCATTTTTGCCAAAAATTTTCGTGGATGTCCGTTAAGACCTTTGCTAAGGAGACAGTTAGTCCTCACGACCAAAACATCCCATTCTCAAGGTCAAATGATCCCCAGAGCAAGTAAACCCCCCATTTTGCCGATTTTCGTGTGCAATAGTCCATGGACTTTTTGGTGATCTTGAATTCTGAGCTCATTTTTGTCGAATTTTTCTTGGACGTCTGTTAAAACCTTAGCTATGGAGCCAGTTGGCCCTCAAGGCCAAAACGTTCCATTTTCAATGTCAAACGAGCCCCGAAGCAGGAAAATCCCTTATTTTGCCGATTTTCGTGTGCTATAGTCCATGGACTTTTTGGTGATCTTGAATTCCGACCTCATTTTTGCCAAAAATTTCTGTGGACGTCCATTAACACCTTAGCTATGGAGCCAGTTATCCCTCATGCCCAAAACGTCCTATTTTGAAAGTCAAATGACCCCCACAGCAGATAAACCCCCATTTTGCCGATTTTCGTGTGCTATTGTCTATGGACTTTTTGGTGATACGGAATTCCGAGCTCATTTTTGCCAAAAATTTTCATGGACATCTGTTAAGATCTTATCTATGGATCCAGTTGGCCCTCAGGACCAAAACGGTCCATTTTCGAGGGCAAACGACCCTCAGAGCAAGTAAACCCGCCATTTTACCGATTTTCAATTGCTATAGTTCACCATCT